GGCCCCCCCCCCCCCCCCCCCCGAAAAAAAGTAAATAAATCCTATTTGCAATAACAACAATAATGATTTATTTTTATAATTTCAGATGCATATTCCTTGTAAAACATCCTTATTCAAATAATGTTGTCTTGGAGGCTTCCTAAACTACTTGTTACATTTCATTGGCTTCCTTGACTTTGTTTAGGTTCCTGAATATTGTTATTCACTAGATGAGGAGGGTATTTGTAAAACAGCATTTGAGCACATTTTTGCATTTGATGAGGTTGTTTCCCTGGGTTATAAAGAGAATGTTACGGTTGCACAAGTTAAACAGTATTGTGAAATGGAGAGCCATGAGGAAAGATTGCACAAGTTGGTGATGCAGAGCAAGATTAATGAAACTAAGGACGTCATGAAGCGCAAAGCCAATGAAATTGACAAAAGCAAGGTAACGATTAGAGTTCATGCGACACCTTCCCTCTAATGGTGTTAGCTAGCTGAGACGAGCTGAAAACCCTACACTTGAGCTTGGCTATTGATGTTAGGCTCAAGCCAAAGCTCGACAAGTTTAAAATTTGAGGCTCAGTTCCAGCTCCAGTGCTTTTCTCATGTTTGGTGATCTATAGGCTCAGTAGTTGTCAGTCAATACTGATGGTATACATCTTCCACACCAGAATTTTAGCCGCTTCTCAGTTTCCTCCCCGGGGACACTGTTTTTCAGAGCTCATGAAAGGGGCGACTAGACGTCCTGTAATGTTATTCTGTTGGAACAGTATCATCATTTTTTATCTGATATGGAATGTATGTTGTTGGCTATTTTCTGTGCAGATTGAGAAGAATAGGGGCGATAAAGGTGGTTTTATGTCCCTTCAGTCAATGGGATCTGGAAGAATTGATGGTGGCTTTGGCAGTGAAACAAGCATAGCTAATACTGGGGGTGGTTTTGGGAGTGGCTTTGGGTTGAACACTGATGTGGATTCCTTTTCTACCAAATCAAAGGGTTGCCATTTCTTTTAAATTTTATAATAAAAATTTGTAAAATTGTGTTGACTATGCTACCATGTCAAAAAATGTTTTTGATGTGATTTCTGGGAGTCAAAGCTGATCATGAATTCCTATTGTATGACTAGGCCGCCCTTCATCTGCAACAGCTCCCCCAAAAGCTCTTGGTATGCAGCTAGGCAAATCACAAAAGACCAACCAATTTTTGGAATCCCTAAAGGCTGAAGGTGAAGTTATTGTTGAGGATGTTAGACCTAGTACAGGTCAGTCTAAGACAACCAGCCTTCCGCCGACTGATCCTGTCACATTGACTGTGGAAGAAAAGCTTAATGTAACACTAAAACGTGATGGAGGAGTTAGCAACTTTGTCATACAGGGCGCATTGTCTCTCCAAATTCTCAACCAAGAACACGGATTTATCCAAGTTCAGGTTATCCTCTCTGACTTTGTGTGTTTATCTATCCTACTCTATATGTTTGGTCAAATTAAGTTGATGGAGTGGGTAACATTTAGCCGTACTAATTGTACGGGATTTTAGCCCTCCCCTCCAAGCTGCTTTAAAGTAGACCACCCATATTTCTTCCTGCCGTGTAATCCCTAAAATCATCTATACTCCCTTCATTATTAAATAACCGTCTATTAAGACACTTTTATATTTTGGATGAATGTGGACAAACTTTATTACTACATTAATTTGATTCTTGATTTACCTAGAAAGTTATAATAAACACTTATTTAAGAACGGAGCAAGTATCTACTGTGACCATAAGTTATCATATTCTATCCATCTACCTTGCAATGTACTCCCTCCGTTCCACAAACTCCTCTCTTTTTTTTCTTGTCCCACAAAATCCTTCCCCTTTCTATTAAAAACCACTTTTCCCCCTACTAATTCTTAACCTACCTATCACATCATACTTTTTTTACCAATAATCTACCCATCACATCCTACTTTTACCCATTACATCAAGGGTATTTTTGGAAACTCAATACAAAAATATCCCTTCTTTAAATTTCTTTAAGTTTAAAATGGGAACATCTTTATGGGACGGAGGAGGTATATTTCTAAATCAATCAATCGAGTACCCACTTTGCCCTATTTTACCTTTCTAAATTCTAAGTTACTATTATTGGCTGAAAGTATCGTCCATTTAAAGATTATTTTCAGTAAATTTGTTTACAATGAATTCTATTTTTATTGTTACTTTTCATGTAGTTTACTGATGCCAAAAAAACATACTACAAAGTACAAAGGAAATTGATAATATGACATTGTAGTCTTTCTCTAATTGAGTAAACTTAAGAGAAATTAAATTTTATGTTAATAGTGTGTTTGACATGAATACATGCTTTTAAAAGGTGAAAGGAAATTGAATTTGACCATGTTAATAGTGTGTTTGACATGAATACATGCTTTTAAAAGGTGAAAGGAAATTGATAATATGACATTGTTTTCCACGACTGCTTATTTGTTTAATGTTAATAAATTCGACCATTCTTGATCCATGGGGGTTTGATTTTTGCAACTTGTTATTATACTCCAGCATACTGCGGTGTTGTTTGTTATGTTTTTTACTACCAGTGTTGTTATTTTTAATATTACAACTACACAATTTTCAGATCGAGAAGAGTGGTAATCCGTCTATAAGTTTTAAGACACACCCTAATGTCCACAAAGAATTGTTTTCGAATGAAAATATTCTAGGCCTCAAAGATTCAAACAGGCCTTTTCCAACTGGACAACCTGGTGATGGCGTAGGTCTCTTAAAATGGAGAATGGAGTCAACAAATGAGGATTTATTGCCATTGACAAGTAAGCTAATTTTGTTCTCTTTTGGCCTTCCATATATAATACAAACACTTGTTTACTATTCAGAACTTAGAAAACCTATGTTACTCATCTTTTAGAACACACCTATGTTACCCAATTAGTAATAGATTGTTTTACCCAATTGCAAACCTATCTATAAAGCATATCAGTTCCTGTGTTCAATCTTTAGTAATGTTAGATATCAATCTACTGGTTCCCTACAGTTAGCTGCTGGCCTGAAATTTCCCAAAAGGAAACTAGTGTGAGCATCGAGTATGAAACTCCAGCAAACATTGATCTTCAAAACGTTATAATTTCTGTGCCCCTTCCAGCTATGAGAGATGCCCCAAATGTAAAGCAGATTGATGGGGATTGGAGGTAAGCCATTTTATCACAAGCTTACTCGATTGTTGTTGCCTTATGTCTACGTGAATTTTACTGTTTTGTAACCCTGCGCATGATTATTCACCTTCTTAGTTTTCAAGACCAACTTGTACATTATAGATATTATTGCTGCCTTCTGTATGTGGGTTTGGTTATCTTTGGGAGATGGGGTCTTGAGGCAAGTAAGAGAAGTTTTTTTTAAAGCTACTATGAGAATTATATATGGGGGGTGGTCATAAATAAAAGACTAGGGCATGGAGAAGTCGGAATAGATGAGCACTCATCTTGGGATGGGCTTACTTCTCAAATGCTTTCAGGAGCTATATGCTCCACACTTGGCTACCCAGCTAATTAATCAAAATACTGATATTTAAAACAGAGCAATGCCGTGTAGAGGTAGAAGGCCCACGGGTCATGTACTTTTTTCCCCGGTGAAGAAGTCTATCAGTTTATAGATAATCTTTAGATATGCTATGTAGGTATCTGTTCAAACATTTAAACTTTAGTACCAGTTACCTGGCCCCGCACACTAGGACATACCCTTAAAAGTCTATCTGAATATTTGCACTTATTTGTGTATAAACCTTATTTGAGAATTGTGACCAGATTATCTCTTTGTTGAATGATTGCACTTACTTGAGTGTGAGAACCTTATTTGAGTGCAGATTTTCTCTTGTTTGAATATCTATGACTCTGTGAGTACTTGAATGTTTGCATGACTTGAATGTAGGTATCTAAAACTACTAATGTTAAAAAATTGTTGATTGCAGGTACAACTCCAGGAACTCTGTTCTTGAATGGTCTATAGTTCTCATTGATAACTCAAACCGAAGGTGAGCTCATTTTTAAGTGTAAAAAAATCTATTACGAGCCTTTTGTTTGTTTAGTCTCTAAGGCAAGGCCTGTTGATTGTTGCAGTGGGTCCCTAGAGTTTTCTGTGCCTCCCGTGGATCCATCAAGCTTTTTCCCGATATCTGCTCGTTTTACTGCCTCAACAACTTTTAGCAACTTGAAGGTTAGTTATTTCTTTGCAATTTTTTTATCACCTTTTATTGTTTACTACGGCACCACCCGTGCTGGAACTGTGTTTAAGATGAGACACATTGCTGGCAAGATGGGGTAAATACTGTGGTGGATGAGGTTTCTTGGTCATGCATACCCTGGCCCCACAGGCATGCACAAGAAAGTGTGCATTAGTCTCTACAACAAAAACTACTAACCCGGTAAAATCCCACAAAAAATAGGGTGTGTTTACGCAGACCTTATCCCTACTTGAAATTAGAGAGGTTGTTTCGGAGAGTGTGTATTACTCTCTATGTTGCAAGCAAAGTCTTGTTACATACACTTCACTCGTCCAAAAAGAAGAATTCCTCTTGATTGAACAAAGCTATTTTGTCATTTAGTTTGCTAAACAAATGCTAAAAAGTCAGACAAGTTAATTATGAGAAAATACACTGAATTCTAAAAATGAATGTACCATTTATGATTTGTGACATTGTCTACCTCTCTTTGACCCAGAATTTTTCTTTAGAATTTGATCTTAAAACTAACTAAATTTAGCTTGTTCTACACTATGGGGTGTTTCTTTGTGCTGATGCATGCTTATTGGCTTATTACTAATACGGTAAGTAGTTTTTAACTTATAAGCTGCGTATAAGCTAAATATTCTTTTGTGGAAGTAAAATGACTTAAATGATGGATAAGTCATTTAGAAACATTCATAAACGGTGAGAAATAGTTTTCTGATTTATAAGCTGCTTATACATGAGCTTATAAGCAAAGAGAAACACCCACTATGTTTGGTTTAAGGAATTTAAAAGGAAAAGAAAAGAAAATGGATTTCTCTCGTTTTTTCTCACTAAAATGGAGGAATTTAGTTTTCCTCAGTACATTTTTCCTTTTCGTTTTTCTTTTCCTTCCACTTTTTTTTCTTTTCATATCTAACCAAACAAGAGAAATTTTTGTCAATCTCATTTTCTTTTCTCTACCCTCTCAAATTCCTTAAACTGAACAGAGTGCTAAAGTTCTTGTTATGAAAAATTGCAGGTGACCGGCATCTTGCCACTGCGGGGTGGGCCCGCACCGAAGTTTTCACAAAGAACTGTGTTGACAACTGAACATTACCAAGTGGAGTAAGAGAGGGGTGTTTATGACGGCTTCTATACATGTCGTCCTCTGTAATAATTTCATTTGCTGAATATATATTCCCTCTGGTAACTTTTTCTTTTTGACATATATGAGGTGAATTCTCAATAGTGGTCCTTCTTCTCTACCTTTTCTTCAAGGATCAAACATCACAAATGAACCAAAGTTTCATGTTGGACATCTCCATAGGTACTCCTTTATATTGGGATTGTCTCATTTCCAGTTAGCATTTTTTTGTTCATGGAAATAATTGAGTGAGATTTAGAACTTGTTTTCTTTGTCTGATTTGATTGGTTTTGGTATGAATTTATTAAGATCTGATCTGGTGTGACCTGTTCTGTTTAGAGTTAAAGTTGTTCTTTGTATTATATAATCATTAGATTATATATTTGAAATTCTTTTAGTAACTTAATTGGATGCCATATAGACTTTTGGAAAGAATCTCCTTAAAAAACTAGAATTATTTGAACAAAAATTAAAGTATAATATTTCAGTTTAGAGTTTTTAGATACATTAACATGTAACTTATTCTGGGTAAAAATGATATACTTTAAAGTACAATTTTATAATATTTATGAAATCTTATACTCGGGTAAGATTCATTTTAAACTTAACATATCGGTGATGCAAAGATTTTACATTAGTATAATTTCTTGAAATACGACAATGGATAGAAAAAGTAAAAGTAGGGTTGAAATAAATTCAAATCAAGCTATGTTGTCAAAAAAAAAGTTAAAAGAATTAGAAGAAATTAAAATAAAATCTTGTTCTTCTTGCCTAAATTGGGCCTGGGAAAAACCGATTTGGAATAGAAAGTTTCAAGTCTGGGTTCCGGTCTTATCCTTTACTCGATTGCGATTTTTTGTTTTTCTGATTCCAGTCCATTTTAAGACTGGCATTCACCCATATTGCTAACTAATTATTTTTTGATAAAATTGGACAGAAATAGTGAGACAAATGGAGTATTAACTAAGTTTTTGTAAGTTTCTTTTTTTGGATTTTAGACATTCATTTTCATATATTTTTCTTTATTTAAATTTACTTTCGATTTTTCAATAACACACTCTATCACAATATATTTGTCCAGTTTAATTTTTTTCAAATCAAGCATGATAAATTTTAGACTTCAATTATTCTCTCTTTGTATTGCATATTATTACAATGAAATTAAATTTTAAAAGTTCTCAACAAGATATATTTTTGTACTAATATATATTATATTTTTTATTTAATTAAGGTCCAAAATTAGTCCAATTTGTTTAAAAGATATCAAACCAGATGAATATAATGAGATAGATGTAGTATTACATTCTACTCCCTAAAATATTATTTTCTTATACGACTACTTTTTAATGTAACGTTCATATATACTCCATCTGTCCAAGAATATTTATACAGTTTTAACTTTTTACTATTAACCAAGATCAAAAGTATATCAATTATATAAAATAATATTTTGAAAATATTTTACCAGATAAATTTAATAAACTAATGTTTGTATCAATATATAATAACAATTTTTTATGGACAAAGTTTTTAATTTTAGTTGCAGAAAGTCAAAATTGAATAAATACACTAAGACGGACGTGTAATTATTAATCTCAATTTCAATGCAAACCAATACCGAAACATCCTGTAATATTACCAAATCGGGACATTTACAACATAAAATTCCACACTGAACTAAAAATGAGTTATGCTATCGTGATTTTAAGGTACCCATGTAAAATGAACAACTTCACACATATTTTCCATACATGTTTATAGTTTGATATACTACTTTTGTTCCTGAATATTTATCTAATTTTAACTTTTTTCATTCAACTATTTTCAACATTTGACCTATAATTAAATAAATTTTATATTGTATATTAATTAGATTAAAATAACATTTTGAAAATGTTGTATATAATAGATCTAATAAAACTATTTTTGTATCAATATCCAATGAAGTATCATTTTTATTTAATTTGTGATCAACGTTTACAAATTTTAACAAAAAAAGTCAAAATTCCAAAAATACTTCGACCAGAGGAGTATTTACAAGATCCAATAAAAAATAATCATTTAATTTCATGTTTTAAAATCAATCAAATAATTTTGAACTTTAAGGACTCCACACCAATTTGCCACAAAATATTGTATGAGAACCCTAAAGACTAGGGGTGGGTGTGAAATCCGTTCCCGTTGGATCGTTTCGAAAAATTCCAGATCCATTTTGTAATTGTACCGATGTATTGGAACACATTTTTTTTAATCCCGAACCCGTTCCGTTCCAATATCAAATGGGACATGAGCGAGACAACTTAAAATTATATCGATCCGTCCCATTTGTCTCGTTTCATCTACTCTAATAATATATACGAAGTAATATTAATTCTAGTCCAAAATCCAAATACATTCATTCTTTAGTTAATTAGTTACGGAGTATTTAAATAAGTTAACTTCATAGGCTTGAAATTTATTTGGACTCGTTCCATCCATTGTTTTTTATTGGATGACTAGATTTTTTTCTTTTTTAAATAAAATGTCACTCTCTCCGTTCTGATTTATTCCGATCCCTAATTTTATGGGACAAATCGGGATATATTATACTCCGTAATCCGAACAGTTCCGGACAGTTTATTTTATAAAGGACATGAGACAAACTAAAACCGGCACCTTCCCTGTCAGTGCCCACCCCTGCTAAAGACGTTCCCACATTTGGCCACATTTGGCCCTTAAGGATAAATTCTTCAATCGAAATCGGTTCTGACCCGCAACCAAATTCCTCTAAAAAAAAAAGCATTTTTCGTTTAGGTTTGTTCATTACTCTGTATATGATAATTGTGATCTGAAATTGAAAACCAAAATCTTCAATCCTCCGATCATCTTCTCCATTTCGCATTTGTTCGTTTGAATTTTACGTTCACACGCTGCCGTAGATATATATAGTCTTTTTTTTCTCTGGACCGAGAAAAATGCCGACGAGTTGTGCCCTCCGGGAGGAAATCGTTTCTGCGCCGGAATCGGCCCCCGGATCGCCCAACAACATGATAAAATTCATGTGTAGCCACGGCGGAAAGATTCTCCCGCGGCCGTCCGACGGCCGCCTCAAGTACGTCGGCGGCGAGACGAGGGTTATCTCCGTCACCAGAGACATTCGATTTCAAGGTAGCATTGATGTTATTGTTCTCAAATTGTTTGTGCAATAACTTTCCTGTTAAGAATTTCAACCATTTCTTCTCATTTGGTTATGGAAAAAAATAGAAATTTAGAAGTTAGAATCACCAAATCAATGTTCAATGTGGAAATTGTCAGAGATTTCTAACTATTTCATTGAATTCAATTGCTATTTGTGTTTGATAGTATGAGTTTTACTTTCTCTAGTTTTAATGGAACACTTAGATTATTATATTTATATGTAAATATGTATTTAAAAAATACTGATTTCAAAGCTAGATTTCAAAGTGAATCTCAAACAATAAAAACAACGAACTTAGTAAAATACAATTGCTATTTGTCTTTGATAGTATCCATTTTACTCCCTCTGTTCAATTCTTTCTTCATTCCATTTTTCACTATTTTCAATGCAGCACTTGTACCGAGTATTATAAAAATATGATATTTGAAAGCTTCATTTCAAAATGAATCTTAAAATGATATTAATTTTTTAATCATAATGCAATGCATTTATTTCCCATATATTATGCTCAAAGGTATAAAAATATTAACCATGAAAGTTTTCAAACGGAGGAAGTATCACACTATGCCTCCTTTCCCAATAAGCCATCTTATCCAAATTCTTGCATTTTTTAGGAAGAAAAAAATTGTCATTTCATGAATTGTATCCCACTCTTTGTATTGTATACAAGTTCAAGAATGCCATTCTAAATCATGAAAGTAAAAGAAATGGATTTGCTTTGGCTGAACAGAATTAATGAAGAAGCTCATATACCAAATAGAGGGAGACATGGTTCTCAAGTACCAGCTTGTCCCGGAGGACCTAGATGCCTTAGTCACAGTCAAATCTGACGAAGATCTCCGGTACATGATTGAAGAATGCGAGCGGTTGGGACCCACCCGCTCCGCCAGGCTCAGGGCTTTCCTTTTTCCATTACAGCCGGTTGTGCTTGAACCACCACCACCACCCCTCGGCCTCTCAGCAGAGGCCATAGAGCAACGCTATGTTGATGCCATCAATGGCATTGTTCGCCCCAGCCACACCTATAACCACTTGCTGGAAGGGATGAAGCTGCCTGCAGCCAAGCCCAGCCTTGGCCTGAACCGTTCTGTTTTCAGCATTTCGTCGGCGTGCTCTTCTCCAAGATCACCTGACAATGATGGGGTTTGTGTTTATAATAATGACCATTTGATGCCAAATGGGGATTTCGCAAATGGTTATAATATGCATAGAGTTCACAGCATGCCTAGTTTTGGAAGTGGTCTGAATGGTCATTACACCCCTCCATTGAATGAGTCTCCACAGTCTCATCACCACCAGCAAAACCAAGTGCACCACCACCATCATTTTCATGGATATCATCATCAGTCTGGCAGACCAATGACGGATCATTACCATGGGCCGAAGCCCAACAACCGCTCGGGTTTGGTTAGGTCCCCAGGGAGTCCTCAACACAACAACAATAACAACTATTATTACCCGACAAGAGAGAGCCGAGGCAAGATGGGGAGCTGTAACAGATGCACTATGATGCCTCAGTTTGATGACTGTGGCCATTGTTATGAGGTTCTGCGAAGGGAGAGAGCAGCGAGAAGTGCCTCCCCTAGTCCTATTCTTCTCAGTCCCCGGTATGGGCACAGTGGCAGTGGCGGTGGATTTAGGTTGTGGGATGGTCCCATGACATCTGCAGAGACTTTCAACTGACAACAGATGTAGAGTGGGGGTGGGGGGTTAGCTGCTCACATTCTGAAGTACTCCGTACTACAATGTGGCAACTCCTAACAATAGCAATGAAGGACGACTCAGCGTATGAAAATCTTTTTCTTTCTTTTTTTTGTATTTTTTTGACAATGGATGTCATTTAGCATGTCTTACTAAGGTGTGAATGAGTGATTGTATAGTAGTAGTTAAAAGAAGTGTGAATTTTTGACCTTGTGTATAGAGCAAGACAATCATCAATAAAAGCAAATTGGAATTGATTGCCAATATTAAATATATTGTGATCTAGCTAGTGATAATTGCATATATACATTTCTAGAAACTTCTGCATCACAAAAACATTTGCTTTCCAATTTTAAAGGAAAAACTTGTTCATGCCAAATTATATTTTTGGGCACTTTTGACAAGAAGAGGAAATGATTGTGGAAAATTTTAGGTGTACACTACACTTACATTTTAGAAATCAATCTAGTCTATTTAAACTTTGAATCACACAAACAAATTTCAAGGTGTACATGACGCTTACATTATATAAATCAATCTAGTCTATTTAAACTTTGAATTACACAAACAAATTTCAAAAAAAAATCTTATTTGTTTTGCACATATTATCTCAAAACATACAAAATTTATTTGTGTTGTTCAAGTTTTAAAAACAACAAAATGTTTTGGTGTAGTGTAAATGTGATGTCCATAAAGCAATGCTCAACAATATTTATGTCATGACTTATGAGTTTCTCCATAGCTAAGAATCGAATTCAGTCACTCCTTTACATCTTTATTGACCACTTGAGCTATGTCACTAAACGTAAATAATTAATGACATATTACATGGTGCATGGATGAACTACTGTACAATATTATAACTTGCATTATTACATAAATCATAAATGTGAATATAAAATCATTTTTTTAAATAAAATATTCCATTAAACTATGATATTATTTTGCATAGACTACTCTTTTATAATATTTCACTATTATAATGAATCAAAAGTTGAATCAATACCGACATATATATATGTCTAGATTTATTCAATTTTTAACGTATCGTGAAAGTCATAATGATAAAATTACTAAATTTTAATTTCTTAAATTTTTTTTACTTTGGTAAATATTTTTGAAGTTTCAAAGACCTTTCCTTCACCAAAAAGCCCGGATTCCAAGAGTGAAGAGTCAAAAAAGCGGAGCAAATGAGTTTAAAAGCGCAGTAAAAGTGAGAGGTCCACTACACACAGAGCGAGAGACTTGGGGAGACTCATCATCACCATTCACCTACTAGGGGTTTTTCTTCTTCAGCAGCCTCTTCTTCAATCCTGCAACAGTAATCGGCCTGTGTTCTCATCGGTTTTCGTATTTTAATTGCTTGGGAATTTGATTGTGCCGGCGTTTTGAGGCGCTTTCAGTAGAGATTGTAAAGTTGCTTGCTGTGTTGCAGGAAATGGAGAGCGCGATTCCTCCCGCCGCGAGCTTCTTCCACTACTCCCCGACCGGCGTTCTCCAGGACCCGTTTCACAGGTCGCCGCCTCCTCTTACGGATCGTGAAAGGTGAATTTCGTTGGATTGGACTCTTTTCTGGATTGTACTGTAATTGAATGCTTGTCCGGTTGAATGAGTTGAAGGGATGTGTAATAGAATCGAATGCTTGTTTAGAATTCTTGAATCTGCAAAAAAAAAAGTTATAGTGTTGTTATTTAGCATAGTTGAATTACTTGAATCCCATCTTTCTTGATCTGTTTGATATTTGGTGGCACATACAATATTCAATTCTATGAGGTGTAGTTTGTTTTTAAGAATAATCGTCTCTCTGAAAATACCCATTCCGAGTAATGAATGTTAAAATCCACGCGCGCACACACCCATGTTCTGATAAGTGATTTGTTTGAATGACAGATATTTGACAGAATTATTTCAAGAGAAGAATAAGTTGGGACCATTCTTGAAATTACTCCCCGCGTGCAACATACTTCTCAATCGAGGTTGTTCGTTTGTTCTTACCCGTACTTGATAGAGGCATATATGACCATACTCGTGTGGAAAGATCAATTGTTATTACATGCTATTATGAGCTATACGGAAGCCTGTTTCATTGTGATTACAAATTAAATCTTCCAAACAGAAAAGGGGTTGACTATCCTGTTAAGTGTGGCAGCTTGAAAGATATCTTTCTACACATCGGGATGTATTTATGTAAATATTTATTTCTTTGTGCGCGTGTGCATGTGACCACATGTATTGAAGCAAGATTAAAATGGTTACACTTAAACTTGCTTGGTGATACTTGTAAACAGAAGTGAAGTTTCTTCTCAAGAGCATTTTAAAGTAACAAAGTGTCTTCCTTATCATTCTTAATCATCTCATATCATGAAAAATTAACACCTGTTACAAGAGATGTGTAATTTACGAATGAGGTATTGCTTTAGTCTTGTGTTCTACGCGGTTATCCGACTTCTAACATTGCTATTTGCAATGTGACAGAAATTGCTCGCGTTTTGGGATTGCTGTCCAACCAATTTGCAAACCATGGATGTATAGGATTTGAGTATGGTCTCCCTGGGCAATACACCAATGGCATGCCAGTAAACGTAGATCCATGGAGTGCTCCCATACAAACAGAGGTACTCCTCTTTTCTCGTTTTATGAATCCCGCTTTCTAGTTTTTGTATGTTCTACATGACTTGGGAACATGTTGACATATTTGCAAAATATTTTATAATGGTTACCACCCTTCAGAGGGGAAATGTAGAAAACTGACCAAATACCACTTGTTTCCTCAATATTAGTACAAAAGCAATAGATACCTATATTTTAAGATGGAGTGAGTATTATTTAATTTTTTTAATGATCCATACATATAACGGTCTATGGCAGTCTGGACTCAACTGAAAGAGCTTACACTACTTTCTTGACATTTTGTTTATTTCAATTTTCTAGTATTATTCAATTTTAAACCAAGTTAGTATGAATAGTGGGCCATTCTAAAGGCAAATGGTTTAAAATTTTAAAAATTTCAAGCCAAATCATACGACAGATGACTAAAATTTATTTTTAAAAAATAAAAAAATCATAATCAAGTTAACTTGGTAAAATTTGACTGGCTGATTCACTTGCCTCATGGATTTTGCTTCAGGAAAATAAACTTCACAAAATGGCTGCATTTCACGCTTCTCCTTTAGATTGGGTTGTAGCACAAGGACCTGTAACAACTCCTATCGTGAGGCGGGTTATCAGATTGGATGTACCTGTAGAGAAGTACCCAAATGTATTCAAAATTTCTACGTTTTGAATTTAAATTGGATAATTATTAAAAAGTTAAATCTTAATGAAAAAAGCATGTAGTATAATTTTGTAGGACGAATTCTCGGACCACGTGGTAACTCCCTAAAAAGAGTCGAAGCCATGACAGAATGCAGAATATACATTAGAGGGCGGGGCTCAGTGAAGGATTCAGTTAAGGTATTATATTCTTTTTACTCATAAATCCTAGTCTTACAAGTATGAAGCAATGTTACTGTCCATTTGGTATTTCAAGTTCATATGATTCTTATCTCTGTTTCTCCACCGAGACATGTACAGTATGATAGAAAATTTTGGGTATGAAAGATGAGAAGCATTATTTTTGGATAGTAATACTAAAGGCCTGAAGCTATCAATCTAACCGTGACAATGCCCCAAATGGGTCCCCTCAATGTAGGTTCCCCCAAACATATGGTTCACAAAAAAATTTATCTTGATTAGATTATGTTAATTTTCAATGAGAATTATTCATTGATTATGCGAAGTATTGAATTTGAAAATGAAATGTTTAAAAATAGAAAAAGAATCAAGATTCATAATTTTTAAGACTCGGATTGATAATTTCTATCAGATATCAATCATTCCCCTAATTAAGTATTTACATCTTTCTTAATCTTGAATCAGTCATAGAGATATTAACTAATATGAAGTAACTATATTTGATGTCTTGATTTGATAAAAGTAAAAAATTATACATAGTACTCCCTCCGTCCTGAAATGTTCTTCCCACTTACTATTCACACGGTCAAACTTTAATCACTTTCTTTACCTACTTTCATTAAGTATTTGATAAAATAATATAGTCTTGTCACCTCTTGTTTTGTAGAACTTTTGATGTAGTTTTTAAATATATAAATTTTATTTTTTAATTTTACACCTACAATCAAATAAATTGAATTTAAAATAAAGCCGGTCAAACTTCGTAAACAGAACCGGGAAGAACATTATAGGACGGAGGGAGTAATTTATTTCTATTCTTCAACTTTTTTAAATAAATTTTTGTTGACAATTGAGAATTATTTTTGTTTTGATTTTAAGAATTTCTTTGTTCTGCATTGAATATGTTTTTATTTGATTTTTTTCTTTTTCTAATCATTGGAAGTCGTGTAGTTTTATCATAATAGAATTACATGAACATATATATTTTTTAATCACATTACATATTTTCATTTTCTCTAGGAGGAGAAGTTAAAAGATAAGCCTGGGTATGAACACCTTAAAGAACCATTGCACATCGTTCTGGAAGCTGAATTTCCCGAGGATATCTTAAATGATCGTGTGGATTATGCTGTGAAAATCCTGGAAGACCTTCTAAAGCCTGTGGTATGAGTAGACACATTTCTGCATAGTAGTCGCCTTGTTGACTAGTTGTTATGGTGATTCTTTACTCTGAAAAAAATTCCCATTTCAGTCTCTTGAGTTTTAGATCATTCTTACTTTGGATCCTGTCTTTTTTTGCACTTTAGGTGTCTTACATTGATTCTTCCATTTTGGTCCTCCCGGTCACTTATCTTACCAATTCACTTACAATATCTAGTTGAGTGGAAAAGATAAAAGTGCATAGAAAATTCATGACCCTGCGTCAAAAGTGAATAAAAATGAGAGTTGAGGATCAAAAGGTGGAATGATGTATTACTCTATTAGTCAATGAAGAGCAGAAGATTAGCATCTTTTGTATTTATACTTGTATTTGTCTGACACCCAAGTTCTTTTGACAATGGGCTTGGGTGTCATAATATGATGCCCTGCCCATTTGGGCACCCTACGATGCTCTGTTCCACCCTGAAATAATTCCTACTCCCTAACCCCGCCTGCCTGTTGTCCTTTTGCCCACACCCAATTTTGGTAACAGTTGTAGGGCCCCTTAATGGACCGGTGATATGTTATGACACTAATAGCCAGTGTTGAAACTGGCCTCTTTATCTGAAGCCTATGTGCACTTCACATTCTCATTCCATTTACAGGATGAACCTATGGATCACTATAAGAAACAGCAGTTAAGGGAACTGGCCTTGCTCAATGGAACCCTCCGGGAAGAAAGCCTGAGCATGAGCCCAGGAATGAGCCCGGGCATGTCTCCATTTAAAGATACAGCGTTGAAACGTGCCAAGACTGGAGCATAACAACCAATGTCTATTTGCGCTTGCGGGTCCCACTTTCTCCTCATTCATTGCCAACCAGGCTCAAGGACACACTCCTCAGTTTAGTCAATTCTGGACTCACCAACAGCAAGCAATGTGTGCAACTACTCAGCCAGGGCAGCTCATTTGGATGGGGGCAAACATGGTATTTTGCTTGGCCTTGGATTAGATATTTAGATTCCAGTTTTATATCATCAAAATACAATAATTGGGTTTTCATTTATGACCAGTTTTGTGTTGGTAGATAGTCAGAAGTGCATTAACTGACCACAGAAGACATAAATATTTGATTTTGATAAAGCTTGATTGACTCATTACATTGATTGATAAATTCTTAAATGGCAAGGTCCACTTAAGATTTCTTGGACTATTTTTTTAGCACTAATGAACTAATAATTTTTTGGACTTTCTAAATAGTTACGAAACACTTGTTATATACGGAGTAATCTGTATTTACTACCTTTATCCGAGTGTATTTGTTTAGTTTGATTTTTATAAGTCAAATTGGACGAACAAACATCAATTAAATAAAAATTATAATGTATATAGCATAGTGTACAAATGATTTCATTATTTTTGCCTTGTAGAGAACTTTTAATATTTTTATTTTATTGTAATAGTATGCAATACAAATTTAGAGTTATTAATGATTAGAGTTTGTCAAATTTTATTCATTTTCATTGTTTATGTTTGTAACTTATTTGATAGAATAAATAATCTTATTATTTCTTGATTCGTAGAACTTTCGATGTATGGAATAATTTTTTATTATATGGAGAAAATTTTTATTTTTTAAATCTACTTACAGTTTTTAAATAATTAAATTAAAAATATTTTCAATCAAACTTTGTGAATAAAAATGAGTAAATATTATTTGGGATGGAGGGAGTAAATGCGAAGATTAACAAAGTCCCCAAAACAACACTATTTATGAACAATCTTTTGTCTACATCTTGTTTTTCTCGTGCATGGGGATATATTTTCTACACTTTCGGACAAAAGGGATTCATTTTCTTTGATTGAAGAAATTTGGGCGAAGTTACATTAAACAAAAAAGGTTTGTTTTTGTTCATTTTTTGAGGAAATTCCACGCTTGATTTTCCTTTGTGTTGGGATAATTTGTCATGTGCTCATACTTAGCTAATCATTCTAATGATTAGAAGTCTTGTACTCCGTACCATATATTTATTCCACGTCTCTATTTGTTTGTTCATTTTAAAAATATAAAAGTCAAAAAAAGACTTCACATTTTCTTCTTTTAACCACATAATTTGACATAGAAACTTAACAATTCATTAATGTTTATTTGGAGGTAAGAAAAAGAAGTGATATATAAAAGTGCCCTTGATTTGATGAATAAAAGTATGATGAGATGTGTTAATTATTACGAAGTAATAAAAAGATGTGATGTGATAGAAATATACGAATCGGTAGGAGTAAAAGTAATTTTTTTGATAGAAATGAAAAAGGTTTTATAAAACAAGTAAAAAAGAAAGGAATAGTTTTTGAGACAGAAGAAGTATTTAATACTCCATTGTTTTTTATCTAATCACAATAATTTATAAGTTTTACTCTCTCCATCCCGTTTTAAATCGCATGTTTTAACTTTTAGACATATTTAAGAAAGAGAAAAAATAGAATTGGTTTTCGGAAATTGCCATTACTTTTTTAGAAGGGGTGACGATGAATGAGAAGATAAAGTGGAGAAGAGTGACTTATTTTAGAGACAGTATAGGTATTTTACTCTTAAAAGTTTACGATAACAACAGACAACTTATTTTAGAACGGAGAAAAAAAGCAAACAAGCAATTTAAAATGGAACAGAAGAAGTGTGTAATTATAAGTCAAAGGTCGAAAGTGAATGACTATAAAAATTCAAAACTAGACAAATAATCAAGAACGGAGATAGTAGATAGATATATGAAAAATGATTCCAATGAATTAATTACATTTAAGGACAACAATTTTGAAGGTCAATTTGCACATTGGAAATCTTTGCTTGGTGGACTCTATATCTCTATTCATCTATAGTTCGAATCAAATGTTGGCCCGGTCCGGTCTCTCCTATGCATTTTTTGCAACAACGCTACTTTAACCGCCGAGGATGACACCAAGGTTGACACCTTGGTGTGCACTGTATCGGTGTAACGCCATCTGTATGACCGTAACATGACCCTTTCTACTCCGAGTATGAAACCGAGCCGCACTATACACGGTTCAAAAAAAAGTTCTTCCCAACCATTGCTACCGTCCGGTGGTCCCCACGTAATGAAGGAGGGACGTCGTTTGGTCGTTGTACACCTTCGTGTGCTTGGTGGTGCTGTTGTTGAGGCGCGCTTTGCGCACGGCGTTTTGGATCTGTCTCTCGTGTTCCTTTAGGATCTCTTCTATGTTACCCACCGGCGTGAGCAAAGGCCCCGAGTAGTGCATTCGCTTATTACTCTTTTGACCAAAACCCTGTGGTGCAAAAATATATAGTCAGTATATCTACTTTTTCTTTTCTTTTATTCTTTAACCAAACAAAACAAAAACAACCCATATTAAAACCATGATTTCCTCCTTTCAAGGCGGTTGCGGATTAGATCCTTACCCTTGTGCACTCCTTTCTAGTCGGTTGCGGATTCTTCTTAAAGCCATGATTTCCTCCAATCCCAAGCAAAGAATGAGACGACTCGGGGTCATTCAAGGGATTATATTTTGTCCCGAACCGCTTATCAGGCCAATTCGATTGGACGAGATCAAATCTTGAACTGCCACCACTGGCTGCCAACGAATTCGAGAATCTTGACAATTCTGCACCTGCACCTACTCCTTGAGGTCGGTATGACCTCTGTGTTCTAAGCTCTGCATGACCACAGCCCGAAGAACCGAGCTCGTTCCATACCTCGTGCATCTCGAGATTACCATTGTATGCAGATCCTCTGGAGGGAACGCCTGGAAAGACCGAATTACCCCTGTCTGCAGGATCGTACTGCTCGCTGACACACTTGAGGTTCGACTGCCCTCGGCGTTTCTGATAAACACCATACAATGTGAATAGATAGACATAAGTACATAAGAAATGCGAATGGTGCTTTTTTCGTCCATCATAATACACCTTTGCATTATGGCAGTGCATTTTTGCAGTGGCATAAACATTCAACTTAGATCTTACACTCTAATGCACCACATGCATTCTCATTTCATTCATTATATCAAATGGATATCTAATGGCAACGTTTCGCTTTAGTATTTTCAAAATTAATCGATACCGTTAAAAATTGTATCCAAAATGCTAATTGAAAACATTGTTCCCAAGAAAGGCCAATATTGACATTTTCATCCAAATAGTTGAGGTAAAAAGTCATTTACCAAGCATTTATTTTAGCATTTTTATCCACGGAATAAATTGGTCAAAACATGATAACATTTAGTCAAGCAGCAATTTACAAAACATCTTCTAAATTAGAAAATACCTGAATGGATGATTGCAACTCAGCGTTAGCAACTGGTGCAGGCACATCTTTAGATGTGCAGGTATCCTTATTACCGCCACCTTTTTGCCTAACCATAAGAAAAAAAAGCGTTTACTACCATTATACGGAGTAATATTTTAACCCAAGTCAAAATATTAAAAAAAAGGAAATAACAATATACTCCCGCCGTCCCAAAATGAAGTTTACGGTTTGACTTCACGGAGTTAGGAAACATGTTGAAATTTATAATAATAAAAAAAGTGTGTTTGAAGTTTGTTTAGAACAGAAAGAAATGACACAAGCCACATTCTTTTTCTAAAAAGGAAATGATATAAGTGTGAAATATATTTTGGGACGTCCCGAAAAGAAAAATGTAGACTTCATTTTGAGACGGTGGGAATAGTAGAATTCAAAATAAAACATATTTACCGCCTAACTTCCTCATCACGCATCTTGGCATCAAATTCCTTGCTTGGCGGGTACTTCGGCAGAGAAGATGGATCACATGGAAGAGGGTCTGTTGTGAAGAACTGGAAAAAGTTGAGCATAAAAATATTTGAGCTTCACAAGTATACATACTAGTGAGATAGAGATCATGTTGACCTTATGATACACACACACACACACACACACACACATATGGAGAACAAAACTTCACCTCACTTTGAAGAGCTGAGGTTGCAGATCCGCGACACTCCGGTTCAAAAGCGAGGAGAGAATCAAGAATGGACAACGCTGAAGGAGGGAAGTCGTTGAATGTCTCTGAGAAACGGCGTTTATAAGGCTGTTGAGGTTTGAAGATCGTTGCATGTGGCAGTTTTGATTTTAACCAGTATTCATCAGATGGTGATCCACAGAGTTTGAAGATTTTATGTAGTTGTTCAACCTGAAAATATTCTTTTTTAAATATAGGTAATGTGAATAAATAAATGACCAGGACACTACTACCATTTTAGATTTTTTCCTTTTTGTTTTTTTTTTTGTTTTTTGTTCAGAAAGAACTTAATCCGGTATAAATGAAAATGATTAAGGGCACGTTTGGTGAGGGAAACAGTGTTGGTATGATATAGATCCTGAAAACTGGAAGAAATGATATGGGTTTTGAAATTTGAAGCGTAAAGTATTTAGAAGGTTCTCATATAGGTAAATATCACAACCCATATTTCCTACACTCGCCAAACAGGCCCTAAATCTGGTATAAACCCAGAAACAACTATGGACACCATAATCACTCAAATAACTCTCTGCTCTTCCAGGCAAAATTACTGAATTACCTCTGTTCTTCCAGGCAAGATGGGTTTTCCAGCAAACAATTCAGCAAGAATGCAACCAGAACTCCACATATCCACAGCTACTCCATAGTGAGTAGCACCCAGCAAAAGCTCCGGCGGACGATACCACAAAGTGACCACACGACTCGTCAGTGGCTGATTGGCCCGAACGAATGTAGCAAGCCCAAAATCGCCAATCTTGAGATTCCCATTGTTGTCAATCAGAAGGTTTGAGCCTTTTATGTCGCGGTGCAAAACCCCGCGGCTATGACAGTGCTCCAGCCCATGAAACAGCTGTTGCATATAACACTTTATCTGCACCACAATGTCAGGATCTATTAGCTTATGGTCAAGATTTTTTCTCTTAATGAAATGATGACAATATTGGATGAGTGGAAGCAATGCTATAAAATGTTAGGGAGAGGGAAAGCAAATGCTAACGGAAGTTACTTTCTTATGTTTGGATTTGCCTTAGATAGTGTAAAAGAAAATGGAGTGTGTGTGTGTGTGTAACCATGTAAAAGAATGCATACCTGTGACTCTGTAAACCTGATAGCGGGGGAGGCCACAAGACCTGCAAGATCATGCTCCATGTATTCAAACACAAGATATAAATGTCCTGAAACTCGAGAAGTCACAAGACCTTCAAGCTTCATTACGTTTGGGTGGTCAAGCCTACGCAGTATTATGATTTCTCTTGCCATGAATCGAACGCTCTCGGGATCCATGTTTACGAACCTTACTTTCTTTAAGGCAACTAGTTTTTTGGTTTCTAGGTCGTGAGCTCTATAGACGCTGCTATACGTCCCTTGACCAATCTGCACCATATATTCATTTCATCGAACATAAAAAAGACCTCTATGAAAACAAAAAACAAGAGAAATATGGAAAACAACAACAACAAAAGTAAGGATCTATGGAGGGTGTGCGCGCGCGCAAACCTTACCCCTACATGAAAGCAGAGAGACTTTTTGCAAGTGACCCTCGACAAGAGAAACATAGACAATATACTAAAGTTTGTTTACTCGTTGTCACATATGAAGGTCAGATAAAGGTTTTTGGTTGAAATGACCACATAATAGATGTGCTTGATTTTAAATGCTTGGTAACATCTATTTCAACTAAATAAGTCAAAGGTCATGTTTGGCAGCCGGCTATGGCTTATTCTTCTTATCAACATAATAGTAAGAATACATACGAATAATTAGCTCTTTCACTAACTTATTTGGCTAAAATAGATGTTGCCAAAAGCTTTTTCTTTCATAAGATTCTACTACGTATTATTCTAGCCAACCTTACTGACCCAAAAGCTATATTTATTACGGGGTATCATTCAGGCTTCGCTTGGGTACACCGTTTGTGGTTAATGTTTAACTATTACGGAGTATCAGTTAAAAGTTTCCGTTCGATTGCAAGTTCAAAACAAATGAAGCCCTAGCAATAGAATGTACCTTATATAACTATACCTTGGCAATAAACTGCTAAATACACATGAGTTGCAAATCCTCAAATAGTAATACTTTATTCTATATCGATTACAAGTTTATCTGATTCTATAATGATGCTTTTTTGCAAGAATTTTTATCATCGATGAATTTTATAAAATTGGTTGTGCAGTTTAGGACTACAAATCTCTAGTTGCATACCCCAACTAGTTGAGACAAACAGAAACGAAAAAGCAATAACAAGTATGTAATCTATCAAACAAAGAGAAAGGTGAGTGAGCGTTAGGAATAGAAAAGACCTTATCTAACTTCTCAAATGAATCCGCCTTTCGTGGGACCCACCCCTTGATAGCTTCCCCCACCACATCAGTCAGCCATGATGGCCATCCTGCAACAACCTGGGCACCATCGACTCCATTCCTCACTCCAAACACGTTCGTAATCTGAGGCTGTTGCACTTCCACACTGCCTGCCTCTCCGGCGTCTATACTGGGCCCGCTCATTTGAACATGGGGCCCACCTGGCTTTCCCTCTTCCCAGCTAGCTGGCGGAGAGATGAGCCGGGTAGTGACCTCACTAGTGACATCATCAACCTCGGCAACTACTTCCTCCTTTCTATAGGATAACCCGGAACGCTTTGATGAATGTGTCTTGATTTCTTTCCCCTTCTTTATACTGCGATTTCCATGCTTATCTTCTGAAGATACTACCCCTTTTGAACACATACATCCCATGATTTCAAACCCTAAATTTCCCCAAACCCAAATCCCACATTGCCTCTATCCGAATCCTCGGATGAAAAACAAACAACCACACAAATTCTTTGATCTTTTCTCAACCAATGTACCTTAAAATCTGCTTGGATCGATTCCTAAATCCAAATGTAAGTTATGTAACCAATTCCCAAGTCGATCAAATTGAAATTGAAACCAGTGCCACAGAGCTTCAAACTCAAAATGTGACAAGAAAAATCCTTGGATCAAGCCCAGATTACAGGGACCAGATTCCCAGAGAATCAAGAAAGCCGACAACCTTAGATCAATCAGAAACCTGGGAAAATGTAAAAGACTCTTCCGATAAAGTTTAGAAACTTTCTTGGCGTGAGAAGGGGAGGAAACGGTTGGGAGAAGTTTGAGTCAAACGTTTGCAATTCTTCACTTGCTCCTGAATTTTCGGCAATAATTTCAAAACAAAAAAAAGAGAGAAATAAATACTCAGAAATGGATAAAAATCGGGTCTTTGGGTTGAAAAAAGGGGAAAGAAGAAAAAAGAAAAGACAGGTTTATCTTCTTCAGTTCGTAGATAGAGACTGACGAGTGAATCTCGGATCCCACCAGTCCGGTAAATGCTACTGACCTTTCAAGACATCTGAGTTTCAACCACAGGGTTAATTAAAGCATCAATATCAGGAAAAAAAGAAAGAAAAGATTTAACCAAGAAACCTGCAAAAGAAAAGAGAGAAATTTATGGGAAATTTGAGAAATTGGAGAATTATTCTTCCCTACCAAACGGGGAGGAGAATTCCTTGGGAAGAATTACTTGATGGAGATGGACATGGACGCCTCGTGAAGGAAAAATGAACATTCCAAAGAGTGCCAGAATCGTGTATGGTAATCAATCATTTACTGTGGTTTATTGCCACGCCATACTGCCAAAGTTTTTTTTTCTTTGTCTATAGTAAGAAAATTAAGACCAAAGAACTCTAGAAGACAAAATGTGATACACTCCCTTTTATATTTTTTATTTTTGCATGATGTTTTTAACTCATTATCTACTTTCTTGAACAGAAAAGAAATGTTTTTGGTCTAAGTAATATGTTTAGTTTGACTAAAAAACTTTTTTTAATTAAACTCTATCTGTAAAATACACACTTTGTTTCAAAAAACAATTCTTTTATTTTAATGTGTAAAATTTTATCTTTTTTAAAATAATTTTATTTACAAATTCGCATAGAAATAATAAGTGAAAATATATCTATATACTATATACTAAAAGTGATGCTAAATTTTATTTTTTACTCCGATATGTCCTAAACTTAACTATTTGTTTCGATTTATAATATTTGATTGAAATTATTTTCAATTTAGTTTATTTAAGAATTATGGAGAAATTAATAAATAAAATCTATATACTCATTTTAAAAACTAAATCATAAGATCTTTGAAACAAAAGATGATATCACTAAATTACGAAATATTTTTATTAAATGAATAAGGAAAATGAATGAAGAAAGTATAAATAAATAAACAAAATAGTTCTTTTGACTGTTGAACCTCAGTTCATAAAATTGATGTTCCACCGCTTCAAATCTATGGGCTATACCTCTACACGGTCCACGATCTATCTATGGGCTATACCTCTACACGGTCCACGATCTAACTTAAATTGCTTTGTAATTAAAAGTCATACTCCGCTTCAAATCTATGGGTTATACCTATATGGGCAAGTATCTTTTGTCCCTTGAACTCCGGGTCATATTATGATTCGAATCCCTGCGATGCTCTGTTCGTAAAATTAATCGTTCTTGTCCCCTAATCCCCTAAACCCTACCCCTTCCCCCCTACATGCTCACCCCACCCCAACACCGCCTCCCCCACCCCCTCTCCCAAATATTTTAGCCAATTGGCAATTTGGGAAGGGGGTAGGGTATGTTTTAGGTAGACCTAACAAAAAATAACTCGATTTGTTGTTGATCCGAGACCCGACTCGAAAATAATATATTTTGAACAAAGGTTTTGCTGATCGAACTCGAAATTGATCAAACCCAAAACTACTCGTTAAAAATGGGCCAAACCCGAACCTGACATGACCGACCCACTAATGTAAGAAATTTTCAGAATCACATGCTTAAATATGTAATAGAATGTTATAAAAAATAAGATTTTAATTATATTTCTTTGCTTATTACTCGTTTTTAATGTATAAATTTATATATTCACACAAAATTTTAAAGATATCGTAAAATTATCTTATTTAAAAAAAATCTGCACATTTAGTTTTTTTATTTGTAATATTGACAATCTATCATAAATTTTACTTAAAATTTCAAATAATAAATGAAAATTATAACCCGTTGGGTCTGAATCCGATGATATTGGGTCATGATAGAGAAAAAAATGGTAATGACCGATTATGATTTTAAGTTAGATCGTCTAGCATAGCCTAGATTTGAAGCAGTGGAGTTGACAGTAGAACTGGTATGAAGATACATGGCGCAATGGGGGGAGCAAAGCCGCAGTCTTGCGGAGAGCTTTTACCATTAACCCTCTGAGAAATCTTCTTCCCCCAGCCGCCCCACTGTCGCGATAGCTACATTCCACCTTCCCTCAACCTTTCTTTCTAGCCTCACCTAACTTCGGGCATTTCACCTTTCTTCTCCACCCCCACACATTATCGCGGCCGGCCTTGATGAATCTTGGCGATTCTGGTTCTGTACAGTGGGATTGGCACGGGAAGGCATGGCTGTGAGGTCTGTGCCAATCTGGGTATGTTGTTCGGACCAGCGACATTGCCCTCGGAACCCTAGAAGATCCGGGTCTCGATTGGGCGTTTCTGAGTTCGGGTGTGGGGGTCCCGGGTTCTCGGACTCGGGTTCGGTCAAGAAATGGGCTTGCTGTTCGGCTATGACGGCTGTGGAGAAGAAGAAGCCATTGATGCAATCTGGGGTTGCTTCGCCGATTGGTGGTAGCGGAGTTGAAGACCAGCCTCGGATCACTCAATCCAGTGGGTTTCACAGGGATCTGCAGTCTCTTCCAAGTTAGTTGTTTCAATGCCCACAATAATTCATCTTTTTTTATATCAATAATTTGAATTTAATATTAATATAAACAACAATGATACTATTTTAAAACATATTTCAATATAAAAATCTAAGTTTAACTGGAGTCATACGTTTCTTTTAGATTGGGTATTTATTGTATGATTGGCTTATGGCTTCCTTCATTGGGTTTTGGGATGTTTGGGTTCATACCAAAAGATTGCATGGCATTTAAGCTTCAGATTCAAGCATCCCAAACAGACTCTCTACTTCCCAGCATGGATTTTGTTGTTGTATTTCAAGCATCTCAGAATTTAAAGAAAAAAATGAGCTGACTATCGTGGCAGACTGTACTAATGCTTGCTCTGCTTATATTTCTTAATTGAGTATTTCTCATAGAAGAGTCACTTTAAAAACTAAAATGAGAAAGATTCTTAGTTTTGTTTGAAGCTCTCTTTTTTTTTGGGGGGGGGATTTGTTTGTCTCTGGTGTCATATGCTCAATGCCTCCCATTGCAGAACCATTGTCGGCAGCTGATCTTTATTCTTATCCTAATGATGCTTCGAAGGTTCGGGTTGCCTATCAGGTAAATCTTATGCACTCTTGATATGGCATTCTAAGGGTATTGTGTGATAAAGGATGCTTATGTACAAAAATTCGAGAATTGGCTCGAACAGTCAAGACCAAGACAATTAACACATATTACACTTTTACTAAACAGCCACGTATCCGAGTTTTCACAATCTCGAACTGCACGTTAGCGATAAAATTTTATTTCATATTCAATTTACACTGCTTGCATTTATCTTAATCCTGTATGTGCTTATATCCTACATTTTCTAACCGGTGCTTTCCCCCCAAATTGATGATTTTATGCACATTTTCATAATCTCATTCTTATTGCCTGGTGTAGGGCATTCCTGGGGCATATGGTGAGGCAGCTGCACTTAAAGCATATCCAATGTGTGAGACTGTACCATGTGACCAATTTGAAGCTGCATTTAAGGTTGGATTGTTTACGATGGAGAATAGATTGCTATTATTTAAACTAATTTGAGATTCACAAAACCTTAATTGCTTTTGTGGTCTGTGTAATAAAAAATCAGGCTGTAGAGCTTTGGCTAGTGGACAAAGCAGTACTTCCCATTGAGAACTCTGTAGGGGGTAGCATCCACCGTAATTATGATTTACTCCTTCGTCACAGGCTGCATATAGTTGGCGAAGTTGAGCTTCCTGTTAATCATTGCCTTTTAGGCCTACCCGGAGTCAGGAAGGAGGAACTAAAACGTGTTTTGAGCCATCCCCAGGTACTTAATATGAATCTTTTCTTTTGCAAAACATCTACTTCAATCATGTGTAACATTGTAACTTTTTTTGTTTTTATAAATCCTTACTCACAAGAATGGCTAATGTTGTACATCACTCTGGTTGAGAAGGAAAAAGAAATTGTTTTAACTTGTCACATATAAGGCACCAGCACCTCTATTGGAAAAAAACCAACTTTTATAATTGAAAGCCTCTTTTTAAGAAAATAGTATGCCTGCCAGATTTACCCAGTGACACCTGATAATTTGTGTCAAGTTGTCAGCTTTAATCTTCCGCATCAGTCTGTGATCTCATCTTAAAAATCACTCTTATTTGGTGTTCTTTTAAACGGTTTGACCAACAAGTGCAACATTTCACTTGTTAAGTTTTTTTATTGGTCCATATTAGTTCAGCATTATTTATGGAAATTAATGTTATAAATCTAACCAATAGAAACATTTCATTTAAACACCTTATTTATTGCACTTTAACAAGTGCAGTATTGCACTAGTTAGAAGACCCCTTTTTAAGACTCTCTTTGTCATATAAAATGTTCTTCTCACTCTTTTTTGGCTGTACTAAAAATGATATCATCCCCTTTGTCAACCACACAAACTTACTGCCTAAATACACTGTAAAAAGCAACCAAGAAGAACATGCTAGGATGGGGGGTTTTATTTTTTTATTCTTATTTTGCAGGTATACTATCCTTGTTTAAAAATCTGAGTTGATATTTAATATCCAACTATGCTCAAGATTTAAAATTTGTAGCATATTCGTGAGGGATAAAAATTTGTTGAATTTTAGGCTCTGGATCAATGTGAAATGACTTTGAATCAGTTGGGTGCTGTTAGAGTGAATGTCAATGACAGTGCAGGTGCTGCCCAGGTAACTCCTTCGTTGATTTGATCTCTATTTTTGAACAGTTATTCCACCATTCATTCCTACTTATGGTCCAAATTATTTTATCACCAAAATAGATGGTAGCATCTGAAGGGACGAGAGACACTGGGGCAATAGCTAGTGCTCGAGCTGCAGAAATTTATGGCCTTAATATCATTGCAGAATATATTCAGGTAATGTTATTTGCTCAACAGTGTTATATGCATAATGTATAAGATTCATCGAGGAGCATTAATATGAAATGGAGAAAGTATAAGATATACTCTAAAATTCCATGTTTCGCATATTTCATTCTAAACTTCATCCATTGTTCCCTACACTTTTTTATGGACAATTATATAAATAATTAACTCCGTGGAAATTTATTTCTTCTTGTTCTGGTTAAAAGGGTTTTAGAATTGTCTTGGGACATAGGGATGGGGTATGTATGATCAGAATGAAAAAAAACCATTGTTTAGCCTGACAAGCTTTGTGTAAAGTTCTAACAACTCACTGTTTCATTAATATATTTGTAACAACAACAATTACCCCTGCCTAAAGCAACACTTCCTAAATTTGATTTTATTTTCTAAACCCCATTTTTCAGGATTATTCGAGCAATATTACCCGTTATCTGATACTTGCCAGAGAACCATTAATATCTGGAACAGACAGGCCGTACAAGGTAACTTTCATCCATTAATCCAAATCTCCCTCTCCCTCTCTCTCTTTTATGTTTCTTGAGGAAGTTTGAAAGTAAACAAACTTGTTTGGTTAGACTAGCATTGTTTTTGCCCTAGAAGAAGGGCCCGGAGTTCTATTCAAGGCCTTAGCATGCTTTTCTCTGAGAGACATTAATTTGTCAAAGGTAAACTCATGGTCATGTACTGTTTCCTTTTCTCCTCTGGTTTTCGAAAGGCTCGGATTTTGTTTTAAAAATTTACACAATGTTCAAAACAGATTGAAAGCCGCCCACAGAGAAACAATCCATTGAGAGTAGTCGATGCTTCCAATAAAGGAAGTGCCAAGTGAGTGTCCCTATAACTTGTCCTATTTTACCCATTTCTGCAGTGCCTTTAACATGTCCCGTTCTGCAGGTACTTCGATTACTTGTTTTACATAGACTTTGAAGCATCTATGGCCGAACCACGTGCACAATATGCTTTGGGACATTTACAGGTCACTTACTTTTCTACTTCATCTGAGATGACTTATTTTCAAAGAAAATCTGCTTTTTATCAGAACACTTTCAAAGCAAGAAAATGAAAAAGGAATTGCATTATGTAGGCCGTAAAATTTTGTATCTTTGTCACACATAAATTTTGTACTCTATCCGTCCCCAAGAAAGTGTCTTGCTTCAGGCCTTCAACAAAACAAATTGATTTCTCATGTAATTTTCCAAAAATCACCAACAGATAACTTTAGTCGAAACAGCGTATAAATTTTAAAAATGCAGGATGGTAATGTTGATTACTTAAATAAGTTTTACCTTATCAAAAGTGAAACATGATTTAGAGTATGCTTGACTGTTATTATACAGATGCCCGGGATTGGTTTAGAGTAACTTTCCTGACATCAAATGAATCTGGACCATCTCTTGGTTCTAGTTAACTACCCTTATTCTCATTTTATGACATGCAAAAAAAAGACTGTTTATGTTGCAGGAAATTGCGAGATTCATTCGTGTCCTCGGTTGCTACCCGATGGATACCCCTCCATAAACAGGGATGGGGGGACTGCCCTTTGGTAGGACATTTAACCCTGAATTGCTGGGCAATTTTCAACCCTCTGTACAGACATTCCAACCAGTATCTCAAGCCTGGATTGCTAGGTTTTTTTTTTAAATTTCTGACTCAGTGCCCATTCTTACACGTTCTTTTTAAAAAAACACTTATTTTAGTGTATATTTTAGTCATGAGAATTGAATGAAACTCAATGTGCATTATGGTAATAATGTGAATCATTATGTGATTTATGAAAGATGTATTCTTTGTAGCTTAAAAATCAATTCTTGCATTGTGA